TTCTTAGCATATTTTGGTTCCTGCAACTGGTCCATCTGGTTCTTGTCTCCCCAGAAGCACTTCCCTTGTGCTATGGAAATCTGTTTTTACCTATTTCTGTTTTCGTTTTTCTTATTTCTGTTTTCTTTTTTTCTATTTCCGTTGTGTTTTGTGTGCTTTTGCAGCATTTTTCTTATTGCTGGTGTTTGCTTAAGTTGCAGTTCGTTTGGCCTCTCAGGGCCACCATACAAAACTCGTTGGAAAGCTCTCTGACTTTACTGGACACATTTCTCTTCATCATACCGTTATTTATTTATTATTATTGAACTGTCTTCAAGTATACAAAGAGACATGCTCTTTGTATACTAAAAACATTTTTTACATGATTTTTAAATGCAAGAAAAGTTGGTGCAAAATATAAAGAGCGCTTATGAATATAAAATCAAAATATTATCACACAAAAACTCTGCATTGTTTTACATTCTTTGAATTCAACGATTTTTCTCCCCTTTAACTTTTGTACATGAGCGTTTCTTCGAAGACGAAAACAGAAGTGACGACAGTGTGGCCGGATGTGACGTTTGGATCCCCTCAAATTAAATGGCAGCGTACACATTGGCCATGCTTGCCCTGTAAGAAGTGCTGCTTTTCATTATTCTGTAACACATACATAATATAATCTTAAACCATGTCCGGTCGACAGAACAACAAACTACCAAACAATCTGCCTCAACTTCAGAATCTCATAAAAAGAGATCCGCAGTCGTACGTCGAGGAGGTGAGTGTTGTTAGCTAAGACTGCTAAACGCATTAGCTGGTAGAGTTGTTTTGGAAGTGTGAGCCTTCTTTTGCTCATGTAATCCTCTCGTTTTCGTCCGCAGTTTCTGCAACAGTACCGACACTATCAGTCCAATGTGCAGATCTTTAAGCTGCAGCCTGACAAACCGAGCAAGGAGCTTGCAGACCTCGTTATGTTTCTCGCTCAGGTAACCCGGTGTGTTTTTGGTGTAGTGAATAGCCCTGAATCTTAGAAGTTGTCTCAATACAATTATTCTTTGCCCTTCAGGTTGGTCACTGCTTCCCCCAGCAGCTCTCCACGTTTCCTAAAGAGTTGTCTGAGTTATTACTTAGTTACCACACAGTCCTGGAGCCGGACCTACGAATGGTGAGGTTGGGTTCATACACCAGGATTCATGTGAACCCGTCACTTTAGTTTTGCTAAAGACTTGAATGGTTTATATGCATTTCTGCTGTCTTTGTCAGACCTTCTGCAAAGCTCTGATCCTTCTGAGGAATAAAGACTTGATTGATGCCTCAGGCCTCCTAGAGCTCTTCTTTGAGCTGCTGCGATGTCATGACAAGCTGCTTAGGAAGGTAAGACTAAGCTCTTTCCCCAAACAGCAGCGTAATTAAGGGACATTACAGTTTTTTCCCAGTATTTTGAGAGAGCAATCTGGGAAGCTGTTGTTTAGATATTTATAAAGATAAACAAAAGTTTTGTCTGTGTAAACATGTAGACAGTTTGCCCAAAAACTAGATCAATACCGAGCATGAGGACCATTCGTGATATATGGATAATAGAAATTATTTTATGTTGCTGGGGGTTTTTTTCTTAAGATTTAAGCAGGAAGTGAAACTCTTGACATTAAGAATTTCGAGAGCCAACATGCCATCTGGGGCATCTTATCCATTTGTTGGCCAAGATTCGTTATTCTATATATACACATATATATTCGTACAATATGCTAGAGCAATAATAAAAATAAAATATCGACCTCATAATTTTCCACAGGTTGCTGTTGTAAACATGAGTGTGATTTTGAATGACTTGGCTGGTTGACTCAATCCAGCACAGCTGTTTTAGTCATAAAGCTGCTTGTTCATGTTCTGTTGATAGCTTTAGTTGGTTTTAAGCTTTTAAAACTTAGGAATTTAAAATGTAAAAAAGCCTGCATTCTGTTGGATTGAGATTTGGTGGCTGTACATGATATTTGAGTACAGTGAACTGAACTTGTCATGTTTGAGGAACCAGTTTGTGATGATTTTAGTTTTGTGAAATGGTGTGTTATCCTGCTGTGATACTCATTTGGTACTAAGATTTGATGTACTCTGCAGTCAGTGATGCTCTTCTGCAGACCTTGGTTGTACTGAGTGGTTATTTGAGCTCCTGTTCCCTAAAGCCGTCTTGCTATTCACTGGATTTTTTTTTTTTTTACTTAAATCGGTTTTCTTCCCCATTCTGATGTTCAGTTTGAACTTCAGCAGATTGTTTTGAACATGTCTACATGCCTAAATTCGTTGAGCTGGCGCCATGTGATTGTCTGATTAGATAACTCTGATACTATAACAACCACTCGAGCAGGTGTACCTAACGAAGTGGCCAGTGAGTTTAATTTTGCTAACTGGTGAATGCCTTATGTAGTGATGAGTTAATAACTTTGATCTGTGGACCTGGTTTTCTGCTGTTAGAGCTTCTGCAGACCTACCAATGGGACAGTCTTCTGATTGCTTCTGTTTATTTTTGTTTGTTTGTTTTGCTTTCATGTAAACAATGTTTTTCTCTCTTCAGACTTTGTACACACACATTGTAGCAGACATCAAAAACATCAACGCAAAACATAAGAACAACAAGGTCAACACAGTAAGTACACAGCTGTTGTGCACCCTGATATTGTTTGATAGTCTTTGTAAAATGGTGTGCACTCACAGCGTTGTGCTGTCATTTGTTACAGATGTTACAGAACTTCATGTACACCATGCTGAGAGACAGTAATCCGATAGCAGCAAAGATCTCATTAGATGTGATGGTGGAGCTGTACAAAAGGAACATATGGTGGGTTCAAAGTGAAACGGAAACGTTAAAGCGGCTATTTTACAGCCAATGTATAATTATTTTGTTTGAACATCTTTTGTTTTTTTGTTTTGTTGCAGGAATGATCCCAAAACAGTTAATGTTATCACAACTACGTGCTTCTCCAAAGTGACAAAGGTATATTTTGGGGGTATTAAGACTTAGACCTAGAGCTTTTATTGTCATTGTGGGGTTTCTTGCACAGCAAATATGATATTGATTAAGCGTAAACATTAGTGCTTATGACCAGGCAATCTTCTTGTTTAGATCCTTGTTGCAGGCCTTAAATTCTTCCTGGGAACAGATGAAAATGAGAAAAATGAGAGTGACTCAGAATCAGAGGTAAGCATCAAAGATGGACAGTTTGATGTATGATATGTTATGATACAATATAGAATTTTTTTTTCTTTCATGCTAAGGTAGAATGCATTTAAAACAAAAAAAAACGGTTTAGATTTG